AAAATGGGGGAGAGAATGAGGATAAATGAGTAACCTGTCTAATGGACACGATCTCGGCGCGGATGGCGGCAACCTCTTGAACCAAATTCGCCTTTGGTTGGGTGATCCATCCAAAAATTGATTTGGGAGAAATCACCCAAGGCAATTAAAAAAAAGAATAAATAAATAAATAAGCAGGGATTAGTCACAACCTCATTCATAAACAATGAGAAGAGCGAGCAAAGCGCCATGCAACCGGCCTCTGAGGCGTCGTGGTGCATCTCATTTGTTGTGCGTAGGGGCCATGAAATCTCCATCTTTGGAGCACTGGCCACTGATCTCAACAAAAAGGAGCGGGCGAGAGAAAGATGAAACATCTGAGTGCAGTGGGCGTACCATGTTTGTGTTTGTTGTTGTGTGGTGGTGCTGTTGTGTGCTGTGTGTGTGGAGAACTAACCAGGCTTGTCTGCACGTTAATTACGTTGGAGCAACGGCTTATTATTAGCTGTCGACGCCCGCACCATTGGGTCGTGCCGAACAGGCGCTTGTTCGGCTGCGCACGCGCACCTCTGGCCACGGTGAGCAGTCTCTTTCCTCACACGCCGAGTAGACGCTTGATCTCCGCGTCGTGTGCCTTCTCGCGCGCCAACGCGGCCGCGGTGAAGCTGCAGGTCGTGGTGGTTGGGCTTTTGCCCTTCTTCCTCCTCCCGCCCCTACCAGCTCGCCTCCTGGGCGCCGGCTTCGGCGCATCCGGGTCGTTAGCTTCTGCTTCCTCCTCCTCTTCATCTCCGCCCCCGAAGAGTTCATCGTCGTAGTCGAACATGCTGCGGTGTGGCTGGTCGACGGTGACGATCTTCATCTCCGCGTTGGCCTTGTTGTCCACCACCAGCCCAATGAGCTTTCTGACGAAGTCGGCTCGGCCGAGGAGCACGGCCAGGTGCAGGCAGTTGAAGTCACGCCACTCCTCGCTGCTGCCGCCCGAGCCCTCGTGGCCGTCGTAGTTGTGTCGCCGGGTGCGGCTGGCGCAGGTGATGGCGGGGTCGGCTCCGATGGCGAGCAGATCGTCGGCGAAGCGGAGGGCCTTGCGCGACGAGCTTGACGAGTTGATCAGCAGCGCCAGCGGAGTCGCGCCCTCGATGGAGGTCGACGACGACGTGCCATTATCCGGACTGTTTGCTCCCGATGACACTGTGATGCTGTTGTGTGTTGTGCGTGTTCTAAGTGTTGTCATCTATGAAGGCAGAAGAACGCGTACCTTCCGACGGGTTCGTTGACGTTGCAGCCGGCGAGCCGATGACTGGCGATGAGCAGGGCGCACAACTTCTTCGTCACGCGGCCCTTGTTCGTCTTCTCTTCGCCCTGGCTTACCCCTGGGATCGGAACCGGGTGCCTTCGTTGCGCAGGCGCTTCGAACTGTGCGTGTGAGCTCAGTCCGCTGTAGCAGGCCATGTGGAATGCGCTCGCATTGATGAAGCTGAGGGACCACGACGAGCAGTGGCTGCCCTGGGACTTGGACAGTCGGCCGGCGGTGAGCCACGGGCTTGCGCCGGCCAGCAGGAGCCGCGCCGCCATCTCGTGGTGCTCGTTCAGCAGCGCCAGGTGGAGCGCCGTGGCCTGGGTGGCCCTCGTCTCGTGCCCGCGCGCCTGCGCGAAGAAGTCGCCGCCCATCGAGCCCTTGCGCTGCTGATACTCATAGCTCCGTTGGAGCGACTCCAGCGGCAGGTTGGGGTCGGCCCCGGCCGCCAGCAGCGCCTCGACGAGCCCGTGGTCTGAGAGGAACGCGGCCAAGTGGAGCAGGGTCACCTTGGTGCCCCTGTAGCGGTCGCTGTGGTGGAGGCAGTCACCGTCCAGCGTCAAGTTGACGCTCTCCGCCGTCAGAAACGGTTGCACCAACTGCACACAGAGTCACTCAAGGTGAGTACGTGATGTGGTGTCATGCGTGTGTTGTGTTGTGTGGCGAACCTGGAGTCGGGCCTTAGGCTCGTTGGTGACGATTGCCGAGAAAAGCTGGTCGTGGCTGGTGGCGTGCTGTTGCTTTGTCTTCATCTTCTTCTCCTTCATCTTGTCACTCCTCCCTGGTGCCTCCGCGGCGCGTGAGACGGGCAGAGCGATCTCGGTCCACTGGCCTCCTTCATCGAACGAGAGGGCGTGTCTCAATTCCAGCGGCGGCTCCTTTCCTCCCTTGAACTCCACCGCGATCCCCACCGTGAACGTGCCCCAGCCCCTACGCGAGTAGAAGCAGTGATACAATATGATATTGTAAAATTATCAAAAATAAAAATTGAAAATAAACATAATATAATGTTAACAATTAATTATTTTAAAATTGGAAAGAAATGATCATCAACCTTGTGGATGCCTTCGCCTTCTCCCCACTCACCTTTCTCCTCCACGAAGGCTGTCCATTGGTGCACGTTCTTCTCGTTCCCCTCCTTTTCGACGTCGGGGGGCGGCGCAGTACCGGTTGCCATACACCAGGGAACGGCCCTGGCGCAATGACAGGCTGGTCAGCGATGGTAAGTCGCCCATGTTGCTTGTTCGAAGGGGTCCTGATGGTAGGAGGTACCTCCCTGGTCAGTGGAAGCAAGACTGGGCCGACAACAGGCAGGCACCTGAACAGACGTCGTGTCGACAGCAACAAAATTGAGAAACACAAACAAAAAGCAATTTGAATTATTCAATCTCCAAACAGATGTGGCACAAGTGCCCGTGTGGGCGCAATTCCTAGGAGCTGAAGTTGGACGGCAACATGTACCTGTTGACGTTTTAGTTCGTGTTGCGAGGAGTCGGCTCAACTGGGGCATCCGCGCACTACCACACAAGTCATGGCTAACTGGCAGTGCGCCAAGCGCAACTCAGAGGCATCACTCAGAATGGTGCTGGGGCCGTCAACTGGTTGTTGCGCATTCGCCATCATACTTCATAAAGTTGGTCAACAGTGTGAGGGCCAAAAAATGTTCATGAAACATGGTCCTAGGTGGGGAACAGTCCATGTTTGGTCATAGATGCTGCTTCGCCCGGGTCCGCTTGCCACCACCAAGCCCTGGACCTGTGCCATCAGCTCGAATCAAGCTTGCTTGGACCCTCTGCTTCTACTCGCCTTTTCCGCCCCCGTGCCATTTCCCAGTTTATCAAGACATCAACCAGACCTGACATGTCGCCGCATCTCGTCATCCCTTCTAGCGTAATGCCCCTGAAGCACTACGATTCATTTGACCTACCACGAGACCACACACACACGCAGAGAGAGAGAGAGAGCAACGCACACGCGCAAAAGCAAGACACAGAGATGGCTGCAGGATGCAAGTCACGGAGCTCCGCTGGGCTGACGGTCGACCGGCGGCAGATGGAGGACCAGGTGGCGGCGTCGAGGAGCGAGCTGTGGCAACGACAGAGAGCGCAGCTGCAGGAGGGATTGGCCAACGTCAAGGCCGAGACCTCGAGCGGCATCGTGCGACAGGGCCGGGAGGACTTGTGCAGCCGCCGCCAGGTGTGGCGCCGCCAGTACCGAACGATCAACAGCTTCAATGCGGTGGCCCCGATCTTGGACGACGATGACGATGAAGATGGAGGAGACGACTGCAGGGTACCACTAAGGGCATATCGGTCGGCCGAAGAAGGCAAGAAGTCGAGCTCGCGAGCTAACTCCAAAAAGAACAACATGCGCTCGGTGGAAGAGGAGAGCAAGAAGGTAATCGGGAAGCGGGACCGACTGCAAGTGAAGGCCTTGTGGAACT